AAATAAATATGTGATAAGAGTTTTATCTCGATTTACGTAAAACATACTTATAAGTGTTTTTAAACGCTTTCACAAACAAACAGGCCTAATGTTGCATTCTGTTGTGCGTGCTCAGTGCTAGATTCGTATGGTGCCTCATTTGTATTGCTGAACTTTGTACTACACGATTTGCGAGTCTTCCGTAAATTTGCATTTTTGCCTTTGTTTCTCATTTGGTAGGCCATGCTCATAAGCTAACAAACCAATGTAAGGGTTAATTTAGCCAAGACTATATCATGTTACGTAACAATTCACTTTTATGTTCTACGCATCGCTTTGGCTGATGGAATTCATTTGCGGTGGGAACTAAGCAGGCGGTTCGTGGATTTTTCCCCCCTGAAATAATGATTCAATCTCCAAATCTATACAGTGAAACCCATCTCATCGATCTTCATAACAAAAATATAGGCTCTTCTTCTTGCGCTAGACGCCTATAATTAACCCAAAAAACGAAGGAAAAAAATCGAATCGAACGGGCAGCAGCAGTGTATCAAAATCATATTGCCTTCCCTTTTGTATGCCTCGCTCTTCCCATCACCTGGCTGAAACTTGTACGTGCAACACATTCTTTGGTTCGGTGTAATAAGAGAGATTGGGAAAATATATATATTATACTTCTCCGGTCCTAAATATGAGACCCTTATACTCGTGTGTATAAGAGTCTTATATTTAGGATCGGAGGAGTATTTGATTTGTATTCTCATAAAAGTAAGGAACAACAATGTTTACTCTGTTCCATGTTTTTATATTCTTCAAATAGTCTTGAGAAACTACCTCCCATGCTTAGAATAAGAACTAGTTAACTAATTTAAGTAAATTAAGAAAATTAGTTGAGTTAGTTATTTGTAATAAATAACTATTATTTTTTTTAGAATGTCTTTTTTAATCATGTGTATTAGTTAGATCTGTTATTTGATGGAATATTTAACATGTGCAACTACTACAAATGCTACTTTGAAAAAAATAGATAAATATGATATATAGAATTGACTGATATCTTATATTTAGGATCAAATTTAAAGTCAAACTAACTCTTATACTACCTTTGGTCCTTAATATAAGAGCTAGTTAACTAATTTGAGTAAATTAAGAAAACTAGTTAAATTAATTATTAGTAATCAATATATATTATCTTTCTTAAAATATCCTTATTAATCAAGTGTATTGGTTAGAACTATCATTGTTACAAAAACTACCTTGAAAAAAAATAGATAAATATGAGGAATAAAATAAATTGGAGTATTATATTTAGGACCAAAATAAAAGTCAAACAAGATCTTATATTAATAACTGGAGGTAGTATAAAGGATAGGATGTAGTATTCTGAATTCTTTATGACTTTTTAATCATTTGCCTAAGAATTTTATACGTAGACAAAAGAAAATCAGACAAATTTTATTCTTTTTTTACGGAGTCGGTCATTCTGGGCGGTGGTCGGGTGGCGTCGTGATATAGTTGGCGGTAAATAAGAATAAAAACAGCTTTAAATTACTTTTATTTATCTAACCATTCCAACAACGCTAAAAACACATGAATATTAAGTTTAAAGAATGGGTAAATAAACGGCGCATATCCAAACAAGTTTTTATTTTTATATTCATAAAAACAGAAAAACAGTTTTTTTTGTAAAGTTTAAATTAAACAAGCATGGATGTTGTTTTCATTCCTTTTAGCATCTGTTTGATACGGGAAAAATAAAAGGAAATAAATGGGAAAAAAATTTAATAAATTCAATTTAAAATAATTAATAGTATGAGATTGAAAGCTTTTAATTAATTTTTCACTCTTTTATCTCACATATTTTTTTTATTAAAATTTTATAACACCACTTTTCTAATTATTGAAGAAATTAATCTCATTAAATTTTTTCCTCCTCACTCCCTCCATTTCTTCCATACTAGGCAAACAATTAGGCACATTTCCCTCCCTGATGAAGTCGTAAAAGCTAAAGAAAGGGAGAGGCATGGAGGGGCCATTTAAATTTAAAATTTCGTGCTTGTTTGATTTCCCAATGTTAATGCTATCATTCCCTCTCCTTTACAAGAGCACCTTTGAATAATTAAATCAATCGGATCCAATTATTAATTCATTCAGTCGGTGTGATGAAGACGTCTTTTTCCATTGCTTTTTCAACTACATAGATCTTTGTAGTATTGGACCAAAGTCATAGACTGGGATACCATGCGATACGCTTATGCTTTTTGTCAACGAATGTTCAAACCGAATGTACGTGGGATCACAGATAATGGCCCCCACGTCGTCACATTTACCTCTGAGATTTTGGAAAATGAAGAAATAATAAGTTTAGGTAATCGGTCTCTCCCTTGTCGAAAGAAAAATTGATGTGAGTATTTTGCCAGTTCGATCACCCCAATATTTAGTACTTAATTACATTTCGATCTTAAATGCTGGAGTTAGTAAAGAGGTTCACTTTATCATAATTTGTTCTCCAAACTATCTCAATAATTAATTATATTTATTAAGAGAATTTCCTTTAGGAGGTAGTTTTCATCACAAATTATTCAGGAGTTGTCTCAAAAAGTTAACGAAGTTTTTATAATTAATTAATTTCCTTAATATCTATAATTATCTAGCTCTTAAATTTAAGATCGAAGGAGTGCCTGTTCTCTGAATATTTAGAAACTATAATTGGGAGGGAAGGCTCTAGCTGGTTAATTTTGGGAGGAAAGAAATTAAAATCGTAAAGGTGGTAGTGGGTATTATATACTGCACAGCAATATAATGGAGACAAAGGCATATGGCTTTGACAAACATAATCATGATTTATGAACTTAATTACGCTAATTCGTGCTCAGCGTCCAACCCCTGGGTGCCGAAAGCGCGGGTTTTATTATTATTGGTGATTATCCATCTGTCTCTTTCTACCATGCATTGGATCTACTACCATCTGTTTGTTTATACACTCAACACACACACACACACACACACAAACACTGAGGAATATTCTTTCGTGTGAATATGTCAGTTTAATCCTTGAAAAATAATTAAGGGAACCATAGAGATTTGTGTGCGTGATGTGTATGTGCAGGGATCAGAATGCCTGCTGGTTTTTGCTCATTCTTCAGAAAGTGTTTTAGAGCCCATTGCTCAATAATGTGGCCACAAATCTTGGCGATTTGATCCATTTGATTTAAAAAATGATGTGCTTCGTTCTTCCTCGTACGGCAATTTATCTGGAAAAGGAGCACCGCATTTCAAACGTCGGAAAAGCTAAAGCTTGGTGGGACGTTCATTACGTTAATGGTGTGTGTGAAAGCGATTGGAAATTAATGGTCGTCATTATAATATAATGATGATGATTAAAAGAAAAGCTGTGTCTTTTCAAGCTCATAAATCTCGTTTCTGAAAGGAAGGAAGTTTTGATGAATATGGTTTGTGTCGGTTGGTTCGGTTGTTGTTTGGTTCGTTTTCAAAATAAGCATCAGGTGAGGTTCTTATTTGTATTTTCATCCTTCATGTATTATTTTGAGAGGCTTTGTGGTTTCTGCAATATCCACTACAACTTTATGCCATTGACAATAGAATTGTTATACAAGAATATAATTATTCCAAACACACACATATACACACAAGCAAAGCAATCACTAATCCATTCTTTGCAAATCAATTGATTATAACCCTATGGTTTGGTATGAGGGAATTAGGTGGAGAAAAAATTTTAATGAGCTCATATTAAAAAATTAGAAAAAATAGGGTTATAAAATTTTGATAAAAAAGAAAATGTAAGATAAAAGAGTAAGCAAAATTAATTTAAAGTTTTTAACTCCACTTATCCAATTTTTTGAATGGAGTTCATCAAAATTTTTCCTCCCCTCTCCTTCCCTCCATTTTCCTCTCATACCAAACGGATAAATCACGTACGTCATATATACTCAGCTCTAATCTCTTACAGAGATCAAGTCACAATCTCTATCAGAACCATCAAATAAACCTTTTAATTCGTCGCAGAGAGCACATGTTTATGATTAAAAAGGCACACATCACACGTTTTACCTATGCAACAGCCGTGCTTTTATCCTTTCATCGATAGCAAGCATTTTTTTAATCTGCTCTCTCATCACACCCTAGCTATATTTACCAATTAGGAAAAAAATAAATTGGAATTTTCTTCAATACTTTTCTCAGGAAATTTTTGTGCGTGGTACTGCCTCCTGTTTTCAATATTAAATCTAGAAAATTAATTTGAATATTAACAAAATTAGTTAAGTTAATTATTTATAATAAATATATTTTGGTTTCCCAAACTATTATTTTTAACTATGTGTATTGGAACTGCTCTTTAATTGAGAACCTCCTAATATGTGAAATCAATAAGGGTACTTTAAATAAAAAAAGTTATAATTTTTTGAGGCAAAATCTATTAAGGTATTATATTTAAAATCAAAGCAATCAAATGCTTTGCGTCTAACTCTGGAATTTAAAGATTTGATTTCGATCCACGCTTTCAGCACAAGATCACACGCGTTCCATTTTTTCTTTTTTAATTTTAATGCACTCGGCTAATTATATTTTGAAGGCGTTGCATACCAGTAAACACATTGAGTTTTTGGAGAGATAGAAAATTTTGACTATGAATATATATGTATATAGATATATACGGCCGATGGAACAAGCAATTCTTCATGATGAATAAATTCCAATCAATTCTTCCAAGAAATTTACAAATTTGTCGGAAGAAAGAGCATCATACGATTCTGAATTGATTCCGATTTCACGACGCCTCAAAACAGCAAGACGTAATAATATTAATGCACGCATGTCCAGAGAGCAAATCCGAGGAAATCACATGCAATACGCAATTAATTAATTAGCTTGCTAAAGGGATCACAATTACACAAAGCTTAGATACTTCACGAGACCTTCAATCATCCAAGTTTAAATACTGTCTGCTGCAAAACAAGTATTATATTTATGATCTGCAATCAATTACCTGATTATCTCTATATATACATCATCACGTTCTCATATTATTGACCCATTTATTTAATAATGCTCCCTTGTTGCTATAATTTTCATACCCATATTCCCTATAGCATCGCTTTCATATTATAGGAAGACCTCCTGTATTTGATTTTCAAGGTGGAGTATTCAAACCCAATAACTCCCACACTCTGATATCCCCGTCAAGGCTTCCGCTACAGACTGTGACGACGCCGTTTCCCGCATCCTCGCCGCCTGAAAATGCCACCACTGACTTCACCGGCTTCTCATGACCTTCCAACACTGCTTTGCAACCGTACCCACCTCCCCTTTCCTTTCCCCAAATCCTCACCGTCTGATCTGCTGATCCACTCGCGATCCACGATCCTTCCACGTTGATTAAGCACAGGATTGCCCCGCTGTGACCCCGAAGGGTTTCCAACAACACGACGTCGTTCGTCTCCTGCTTCCTCTCCCACACCGAAATCTTACTGTCACAACCCCCCGCGAACAGCACCGTACCGTCGCCGTTCAACGCCAGTGCATTCACGGTTGATTTCTTCTTCTCTAGACTGTTCACCAGTCTGTACCTTTTCACCTTCTCATCCCTCTCCCAGACCCTGATGCTCCCGTCGGCCGAAGCAGTGTACACCGTTCCGTTCCCCGAGACGGCGACGGCGTTGATGGCGTCTTCGTGTGCCTTCATGGACTCCATGCACAGGTAATCGGACACGTCCCAGATCTTTAAGCTCCTATCCCAAGAAACCGAGTACATGAGCCCTTCGTTCACGGCCAAACCCGACACCGTATCGCAGTGCTGAATCCACAGCCTCCTCTTGTGGCGGCGAACGCTGACGTAGTTCTTGGGAAGCATGAAACGACGGAGCTGGTCCTTGACGGTGGGAAGGGTGCAGAGGAGACGGTGTCGTTTGGAGGGAGAGATGGACCACACGCGAATCTTGCAGTCTTGATGAGCGGTGAAGATCTTGGAATCGCAGAAGGCAAGGGACTTGACGAATCCTGAGGCGGGGTTGTCGTTGAATGCGTCTGTGTGAGTGTAGTGAGAAACATGGAAGACGTTGATTACATTAAGTGAAGCGGCGTACAGAAGGTTCCGGTGGACGGCGAGACAAGTGATGTGAGGTGTTAGGGTTTTGAGAGATGCTAAACAACGGTAACTAAAAGGGGGTTCGTGGGAAAGCGAACATGGTTTTTTAACACTGGTGCTGATTCCACAGGACGCTCTCTCTGTGTCTGTGAAGCTCATTTTGGAGTTGCAATGAAGCAAGGGAATCGGAGTTTGAAGAAGCGGGAGTATAAGTAGCAGTTGGGATACGGTTCTGCATCGTCTCAGAATCTTTCTTTCTCCTTTTCTTCTCGCCATCTCATCTCTACTTTAGATCAAATAACGAATGGTTTAGATTTCATACTTTATAAAACTATTATTATAACATTATACAAATAGAAGAGAGAATGTGGACATTTGTTTTTTAAAATATTAAATCTGAATCATCTATTATTTGATGTAATGGTGGAGATCAAATTCTAAGAAGAAAAGGGAAAAGAAAGATTCTGAAAGGATCTAAACCTGTTAAGATATGAAGGGAGGACCAAAATCAGCCCTTTTTAAAATCTTTTTGACATGATTTTAAAATGATATAAATGTAAAATATTTTCATATTACAAATACATAGATAATTCAGTACTATTAGGAATATAAAACTTACTGAATTAATATTTTTTAGCAGTTAGAAATAAAGGGTGATTTATTTTAGTGCTTGTCTGGGATAGCGGGGGATTTCTCCTATAAACACATTTAACGTAAGCCGAGACAAAATTTTTCTTACATACTTGTTTCATATTTCATAAATCACTATTAAAAAGCAGCTTATAAGCTGTTCCAAACAGGCCCTTAATCTCATGCAATATACTAATGAGCTATTTTTTTTTTTTGACCAGAAATACTAATGACCTAAATTGATTGACTGTATAAGATGGCCCAAAAATAGGATATACAGATACTGTATCGTTTTATATAAATATTTTATAATTAATCAACTAATTGTAGGAACAGGTGGGGAAACTAAAAGAGCAGCACGTGGCGGGCGGAGAAGGCGAAGAGGAGGGACTTAGTGGGCCAATAACCAGAGTGGCAGGACCCACTGACGATCCAATGGACCCAATGAATCAGAGTCAGCAAAATCTCCCATGTACGTTGTACCTGAACTAACTCGGCCTCGTCCTTACAATACTCAACCGCCCCCCAAAAAAAAAAAGTCCTCGCAAAAGCTGGGACCCTTTTCACATGAGAAGACGAGGATTCGAGATACACAGCAAAGATACTCCCTCCGTTCTTTATTATAAAAGACAAATAATTAAATTATATTGATAAAAAAAAACAGTTAAAATTAGTTAAGGACAATTAATGTATAAAAAGTATAATGATTTTTCCAACAATGCCCCCATTAATAAGGAAAGAGAGTATGAGAGAGAACAATTAAATTATTAAAAGAAAGAGAAGTGGGAGGAGAAGAGAGTATGAGTTGGAGACAAAATAAATAGAGATAAAATAAAAAATCAATATAAAAAAATAGAGTCTCTTATATATGGAAACATAGTATAAGCATCAAATGTCTCTTATAATAAGGAACGGAAAAAGTATCAGATAATAACCTTTATCAAATACGCCTACACGGTAATATTATCATGTTCAATAACATATATCAAATTATCAATTAAATGAATAACATATTCTGTGTAACGAACATTTATCTATATATATAGGTCCAACCAATTAATTAAAAAGAATTTCCCGTTATAAACTTTTGAAACATAATTAAGTTGAACTCTAACAAACTCACGAGCAAATACAAAAAAATTTTATCATTCAAAGCAATGATGGTTCGTAGGTTGACCTCTGGGCCGTCCGTATTTCGAAATAACCGAAGTTCAGATGATAGTGAGCTAAGTTGTTGTCTTCAATGCGCGACGATACGATTCCTGTTTTGGTGCCCTAGCAATTTCGAAGCATGCCATGCTCACTTCACTACTTCTCTATCATTAACTTGCTTTAATATAACCTTTTCCACATTGTTTATTATTTAAAAATCCTTTATATATATGTGCCTTTAATGTTCATTCTCCTTTGGCATCGTTTTCGTGGACACTATGTTGCTCTTTGGCTGCGTCGTCGCTCCTCAAATTCTCCTTTTCGCGTTGTGGGTGGTGCCTTTTCTTCCACTAAAAGTTTATCTTTCTTGTGCAGACGCATTAGTAGCATCAGCCTAAGCGGAGAGACATGAGTTTAAGGTGCAAGTAGAGAATCCCACCAAAGACCATTATAATATTAAAACCATTATTATATTGTCCCTCCTATTTATACATAAACAAAGCTTAAATCATGACATCTTTAACGATTTCCCGATTAATAAACTATGGGGATCCAAGTGTTAATTATATTGATGCTGGCGTGTGGATAGGGTTATGCATAAGTCGGGGCCTATAGGTTGATAACGTCTCGTTTCTGATATGAATTGTTTATGTTTAAGACAAAGCATGTCTCCAATGAAATTGACCTTAAAGTATGCCAATTTTTTGATTCATGGAATGTAGCACACAATCCTATGTTTGTGTTGTGTGAATATATTTATAATGTTTTTAAAGGCGTTAATTAGATATGCTTTGTTAATGATGGGGTACGTCAGTTGTGTAATATTGCAATGAATTGCACTTTGGCTGAGTTTCATTGGCCGTAGATCCGAAAAGCTTTTGCGTGTTCTTCCCACGGACGGACGCGAAGGGTTCGTTATGTCACATTCCTTGTAGTTTCCGCTTTTACTTTTTTCCGTTATATGCGCGAACAATCAAGAATTAATAATTTATATTTTCTCATATTTCCCCCAAAAAAAAACTCATGAGAGAAAAACAATTTAAAAAATTTAAATTCGCAACTATAAATGGCACCTTTTTTTGGGGCAAATTTTACTATCTTTGTTTGGGTCCGTTTGAATTTGTTGTAGTGAGGTTGAACTTAAAAACTTTACCCATACTTCTGTTAAATTCAAAACTAGCTAGGTGGTAGCTAATATTTGAAAATTTAAATAGAAAAGAACGAACTATGTGGGACAATTTTATTTTATTTGTTATTTTTCTGAATGGACGCACGCCAGCCCGTCAATTGAAGAATAAGCAGCATTGCTATGATTGGCAAGAGAAGGTGGGGGTTGAAAACGAACGGTCGAACTGTTTAAGGTAAGTTAGTTAGTGCGCGCGCTGACTTAATTGCTGACCAGTGACCACATCTACGGGTTAGGGCATAGGAGATGCCTTCTATCCGTAGCTACAAGTGGCGGTCGTTGACGCGCTCCTCCCCCCCCCCCCACCCCACACCACCCCACCCCAAAAAAAAAAACAAGTAACCTCGCTGATTCGGCTTTTTAGAAAAGAAATTCGGTTATGACGCAGGTGACAATTATATGTTCTACATACAATGTACGCACTTTTAAAAAAGATTCAAGAAAAATATTTGATGTCGTTGGACTATAAAGTATAAACCCCAACTGGCTAATTTTTTTTAAATGTACTCTACTATACTATCTCTAATCCTTAATATAAAACTTTGTTTGATTTTTATTTTAGTCCTAAATAGAAGACCCCAATACATTTTGTCTCTAATATTTATGTGTATTTTTTTTTTAGATTATCCTTCTAATAATGGTAATTCTGGCCAACACACTTGATTACTAAAGATGTTTTAGGAAAGACAACACTTATTTATTATGAATAACTAACTTAACTTACTTCCTTAATCTCCTCAAATTAGTCAACTAGCTCTTATAATTAGGACCGGAGATAGTATATCACAAAAATATAAATCCATTCTTATGAATTTTACTCTTTCCACTTTAAATTTTAAGACATAATTAGATTATTTGTTTTGACCTTCCATATAAAACTTTAATTTTCTTATTTAATATGGGTATAATTTCATGTTCATTAATTTCATGTTTTTTCTATCTCTCTTCTTCATCTTTGACATTTAGGAGGAGCTTAGCATCTCTCACGAACATTTGGAAGAAAAAAAAAAAACGCTTCCACTCATGTTGAGACAAACAAACGCCCTTGATATGAAGGGAGCAAGCGGTAACCTTCATTCCGTGTTTGTGAGCCCCCACTCCCACTTTCTTTTTCTTTTTATAACGGATGAGCTTACAGTTGCTGTGTGTTAATTTTGTGTCAATCAGCTTTTAAACATTAATCAGGTTTTAAACAGTTCCCGCTCTCATCGCGTAATTGATCAGCTGTTTCGTTCTTATAATTATGTGGACAAGCCTGCAATTCTTTTTTTTATAATACTTGGGAAGCCTTACATAGTGTCTACATGACCGCTACCCGTAGGATTGCGATCGAAATCTAGAATGTGTGCCATCTCATCGGGCACAGAATCAATGTAGTGGAATCCTCTCATTACTTGAAGACCCTTTTTGGCGAGAAAGTCTGCAGCTTTGTTAGCCTCCCGATTCACATGCGTGATACGAACCTCCAAGCTCCCGTCCAGTAGCAGTCGAATTCCAGCGATAACAGGATATTCCGCATGTAGCTCGTCAGATTCTTTCTTGATCAGCTCAATAACCGTGTTGGCATCAGATTCCAACACTATTCTACGGTGTCCACCATCCCATGCAAGCTTCAACCCGTGAAGACAAGCCCAGAGCTCGGTGTGCAATGCATCACTGTCGACGAGATGAAAGCAAAACCCTCGAAGGAAAGTTCCTGCTTCGTTACGAAGCAGTCCTCCACAAGGACAGTCGCCAGTACTAGCAGCGTACGCTCCGTCGACATTAATCCACCCTTGATCTGGAGTGCACCATCTTCTTCCCGTAGTCGTTCTTCTAACGTTTGGCAGTGCAATCCCTGAGAGCCGATCCTGGACCTGCTCAATGCTAGATAAGAGTGCGGTAGAATTGGCAATAATAGCTTCATTAGTTACCTTCTTTCCTTCGAAACAAGAGAGGTTTATACGTCGCCAAAGCCACCAGCAAATGACAGAAAACATCGCATTCCAATCTTCACCATTGATACTCTTCGACGTGATATTCCATCTGATCCAGTCATTAAAGCTCAGAGTACAAGCCTGCAATTCTACTCCCAATTCCATTCCGTTCCCAGATTGCGTCAAACGTTAGTTAAGTATAGCGCCACTTAACTAACCCAGCAGGGAAAACAAATTAACTAACTAACCGAAATTATGGCCCAAAGTATGAGTGGGCCCAGTCTATAAAGACTCCACAACTTTTGAACAGTATTTTAGGCCTTAAGGTTGGAAGAGTTTACTTCTCATTTCTTCCTCATTAAAACCATCCGAACATCTAAAATTTATAGCAT